ACCAGGAAATTCAGGAATTGGATTGTTATCATGATGTTCCAGAAGATAATGACAGGATTGTCATTGAATAAATGAGTAAATTCTTGATACTGTAGGATTCACAGTTTGTCTGGTTTGACAACTACCGTACGTACCATATACAGGTAATAAATTTTCTTTATTTTCATTTAACAATAAATGTGTACCATATTCTTCTTCATGGAAAAATAAGACATAACCTGAAAATAAGACCTAGCACATCTTTGGGAGCAAAAATTAATATAAGACACTGTCTTATTTTGGGGGAAACAAGGTACTAAGTTTACATTTTCCTCATGTAGTCGGTACATGCAATAATCCCATAATCTTCAAAAAATAAAGGATGAGATGCATATACTTTACTAAAACAAAAATTCTCCCCTTATACCTTTACATAAATGTCCTAAGGGAAATGTTTTCTTTTAATATATATTTGTATTGTTGATAGTATTATAGATATCCCCTATTTCCCTCCCCTTTGACCCTCCTCCCCCTGGTCCCTATCCATACCCCTCCACCCCCCGCCCTGCCTAGGTCTTCACAGTCCTATTTCCTGTGTCCATGGGCTGTGCATTTAAGTATATAAGTTCTTGGGTTTATCTCTTCTCGCCCCAGGATGTTGAAGGAGAAGCTGCTTTTCTCCAGGGTGTCTCTTCCCTGTACAAAATGCCTTTCTGTCCCCTTTCTCCTTACATGTTGCACTATTTTTTCCCCTGACAATCCTACATGACCCTTTTGTAGGCTCTTGATTTTCTTATTTAAGTAACAACCAGAGGTTGGACATTTTTGGATGGAGATCAACTATCTCGTTATCATTATCCCCCAGGAGAGACAGTTTTACAATCCTGAGTGCGTGAGGGGACTAGGAGATAAAGTACGACCTTCGTTCCACAAGCCAAAAGCTAAAATACTTTATTTTTATTTCCTTCTAAAGCGAAGCATTTCATTTCTAGACAGCCTTGGCAAGAGCTCAGACTATTTTTATGCAGGCTCCATGCTGGCAAGTAGAGAAATGCCCTTGATACTGTGTTTGTCTTGGTGGCAATGATGGTGGCCACTATGGTGAAGGGAATAGGTAAAGTCATTATTCAATATTGTAAACAAATAGTAATAACTTCTAATAAAGCTAATCTGAGAAAAGTAAAGACTAATATAAAGGTTATCACAAGACCAAGACCTATGAATTAAACCTTTTTTTTCCCACCTAAAGCAGCAGTTCACAAATGTTTAACATCTGTAAACATCACCTGGAGGGTTTATTAAAACACCCACTTCTGGCCCCACCCCCGGTTTCAGATTTGGGACATAGTGAAGGTGCAGAATTGGCCTTCAAATAAGTTTCCAAGTAATGCTGATGCTGATCAGGGAACCCCACTTTGAGAACCACTGACCTAAAGGAATCTTCACAACAAGAATGTAATGATTCTAAGCAATGAAAACTTCAGTGAATTAGGTTTAATTAGAATTCATTTAATTTTTTTTTAAATAAGCAGTCTGTAGAAATATTCTTTTAATACTGCATGCATTCTTGGGAATGAATACAATGTCTCCATTTAGACACCAAATAAAGGCTCTTCCGGGTCCTGCTCTCACGAGACTGCCAGTAAATACAATGTCTTCCATTTCATTTTAATTTTGTGAAAATGAATGCACAAATTAGTCCCCAAGAACATCGATTAGTCTTCTATCATTCAATGCTGACCAAACAGACCACTAATTAAATAGGTCTATACAAAATGTTTTAAGATGTGAGCAAAATAAGGTCAAAAGGAATGATTCTCACAACTTTTAAGAAAATAGAGAGCCCCGCCAGTGTGGCTCAGTTGGTTAAGCGATGGTCCACTGAGGTTACCAGGTCAGGAGACATACCTGGATTGCAGGCTTGCTCTCCAGTAGGGGCCGTGCAAGAGGCAGACGATGTTTCTCTCTAGTCGCTGTTTCTATTTCTCTCTCCCTCATTCCTCTCTCTGAAAGCAATAAAACATTAAAAAAAATAAAAAGAAAGAAAGAAAGAAAGAAAGAAAGAAAGAAAGAAAGAAAGAAAGAAAGAAAGAAAGAAAGAAAGAAAGAAAAGAAACCTTACTGAACTATCAACACCCGTCATGGAGCACCTGAAGGAGAGGCAAAGAAGAAGCCTCATTTGCATCATTTCTGTGCTGGATCAGTTATTGTTCAGCAAAAACAAGTCACCCCACTTTTTCCGAGGTGACCTTAGGTTCTGAACTTGCTTCCCTGTAGGCTTTTTCATAAACAAATAACTAGAAAGGCCTCTAAAGAGGGGAGAGACCAGTTCCTCATTTCAAGGTGTTCAAGTTTGTTGCCTACACTTGGCTAAAAGGGTCCATTGTCACAGGTGTGGAACCTGCTCTCCCAGCCCTCACCTGGCAGCTGGCTTTGTGGTTCTGCTTACTCCCTCGTCGGGACTTACCTGGACAATGTTGCCTTCAGAGACAGACCACACACAGGTATTAGGGGCAACCTTCACTCTGTCGGGGTTTCTCTCTTGCACTTTTGTTTGTTGCTACCAGCTTCTCCTGGTCCGTCTTGCTGGTTTCTCCAGGCCTAAAAGAATGGGTGAATCATTAATCTGCAAGCTTTAATTTCCTCCCAACAGTGTAGGTAGTGTTTTCTGGGTTCTTGAAGCTTGGCAGGTAAAAGGCTGGTGAAGTTTCTTTATGATATTTATTGGTTTAGTCTTTTAGAGGACGGAAAGGAGAAGCATGAACCTGAATTCTTCTGGTAACTTTTGACTCCTCCTCATATTCATAGAGGCCATCGTTTAGGGAGAGCCTCCCAGAACCCTCAGCCATTATCTCTTTGAACCTCTGCAATAAGTCTGTGAGGGAGGTACTTTGTTGCTTCTTCATAAATGGTGCCCAGGGGCTAACAAAAGGGGTGTGGCTTGTCCGGGGTCCCAGGCTAGCTGATAGTGAGGTGAGGTGGGAGAGCAAGCAGATGGTCCGGAGCCTGGGGGCTCTTCTCTCTGCAAACTGCCTCCCAAAGTCCTGTTATTTAAAGATTCTCTGGTTTTGCGGTGAGTTACGTCAGCAGTTACTAGTGCCTTGGTTCCAATATTTGAGACACTGGCCACTAAACAATACTTTATGACCCTTAAGTTCTAGGCAACAAAATAACCTCTTACTCACCACCATACCCTTGTGTTGGGACACTGGTAAGGAAATCTGAAGCAGTGTCCTAACCCTCAAAGGCCGGAAGGGAGCCCCAGGGACTAAGAGTTCTGATGGAGCTATTCTGCAAGTGCCTTTGTGAATGCACTGAATTCCAGTTAGGGTGTGGCTGCCTAGGATGTGGACAGTGCTATAAAGAGGAAAATTTAAAAATCCCCGGGTGTGTCCATGTGTGAAAGTACCTATAACTCCAGTCTTCAGCTCAGCTACCTGTTTGTTGGGAGGATAAGAAACAGGCCTCTCCAGAAACTGGAAAGAGACCTAAGGTATCTCTTTTCATCAGTGGTCAAGATGAGCTTTTTCATTCTTCTTCAGTGAAGCTGGGATCACCCTTTAAAGCAGCAGCCAAGATAATCGATCTGAAAACAAAACCGGTTCACGAAAATGTGCGTCTCCTAACTAGTATTCCCCTCTCCCAGATGCCCCAGAGAAGGACCTCATGCATTTCTATTCTACATGGAGAGTTCTATACACTTGAGTCCTCAGCTCAAAATATTAAAGCACACTCAACATTAAGACTTGAAGATTTTTTATTTTATTTTATTTTATTTTATTTTATTTTATTTTATTTGCAGATAAGAGCTGAATTTACTTTAGTTGGCATCTAGGTAGTCCCTCAAACAACTCGCAATCTAAAATTTTGTTCCTGTTGGTTTCATTTGGCCTTAACCCAGATGAGAATTAGGGCTAAGTATAAGAGAACTCAAAGTCTACAGGGTCAATGTCATGACAATAAAAAACACTTGGCTCCTCCTCTTTGCTGATAAGAGTAAATCTAAGAGCCTATTAATTCCCTCAACACATGTTTTTATTTTTATTTTTATTTTTTTACCTTCTATGCTTAGAAACTATTAGAAAAAACAAATTAATGGGGAGAGCAGCTGCTATAGTCAGGTACATAAGATATAATGAGAAGCAATGAATAAAAATTAAGGAGTATATCAGTGTGAGATCATTTTGTTTGGAGTAAGTACTCACATGCTATAAAAAAAAAACCTGTGACAAGTATTGCATTCCTCATAAACCTACATTAAATGTGGATTATCATCATTGTATTTCAGATAGTACTGTGAGGTATAAGGTTGAGGAGGTAAATAATACACCACAGAAAAAGTTCTACTAAAAAAAAGTTGGAGCAATTAAAAAATTTTAGCACTAAAAAAAGAAATTATTAATTCTCCTTAAAATTTGGTTATCCAAATGTGTTCATTCTTAAAGGGTTCCGGCTTGCTGAATTTCACGGTGAATTATAGACTTGCTAAAATTTTATTATTGAAGAGCTCAGAATATGTGGTCAATGCCGATGTTATCTGGCTTCTGAGCTATCTGGCTCCCAAAAAGTCTCTTAGCTCACTAAAGTTTTGTTTGTTTGTTTGTTTGTTTGTTTGTTTTAACCTTGAAGAGATATTAAATAAATAGCAAACCAATTTTTACATGCAGGCTATGCAGATGAGAAGACTGGACTCACTCACATTAATTATCTTCCAACCGTAAAGGCAGATCATGTAAACTGGGCCATACCTGTCTCTCATGTTGAATTAGAATTTTTATGTGAAATGTCAGACACCTTTTTTCTCACCCGAGTGTCTCTCATTTGCGATAGATTCCACACTCTGCTCTTCCTCACTGAAGATGCAGCAACCTGCCTGCAATTATCTTCTGGAAAAGGACAAAGACATCCTAGAGGGAGAGTGGCGCTGGGATGCGGAAACTGAACAACCCCAGAGTGGTCCAGAGAACGGCAGCTCTGACAGCGTCCCCTGGCAGCTTCCAGCCACAGGGCCTCTTAGCTGCATGGGGAAGACAGAGCCTTCCCGGCCAGAACAGCCCCACAGCCTGGGGGCCTCTCCTCTGCACCCCCGGGGCAGCCTGTCCAGGAAGCACTGTGAGAGCCAGGGGAGCCTTCTCCACTTCGACAGGCAGGCCCCAGGCCGGATCTCCACCTCGCCCACCTTGAGGAGATTGAGGGGCAATGGCTGTGGGACCAGGCACTCCCTGCCTGAGCAGGAGACCTTGGAAGAGCCTGCTTGGGGCGGATGGAAGGAGCCTGCAGGCTCCCCATGTTACCTTCCCCAGGGTCTACCTGGAAGCCCCCCAAATTCTTCCCACTCCTTATCACCCTTGAGATTCGGCTCAAGATTGCCTCCGGACCCCAAAAGGGCCTTCAACACAGCTGAGTCCTCGGAGTTTCAAACAAGGCCCACCGATGAGGCTGCCCTTCCTGTGCCTGTCCACGAGGGGTCCCTTCCCCCCCACTTCTCTTCCAGGGAGAGGAAGCCTCTGGCTGCACGGCCCCCCAGGCCTCAGGTAACAGCTCTAAGCCCCCTCCCTCTCACCAGTAGATGCAGAGCAGCACAGACCTGGGCTTTTCAACATTTGCCCAAAGGCCGGGGCCCTGGGTGGGAGGCCGCACAGCAATCACCGCTGCGGGGACAGGCACTCTTTTGTACGCTCTGCCTCTCAAGTAAAAGGAGTGCAGCAGGCTGGGGAAGAAGGAGATGGAAGTCTCGCTCACTTTCATCTTCTGTATCCCGAGGGCACTTAAAGAAAGGGCCCTCCGAGGTCAGGCTAGGAGAGATGTCTGTCCGGAGTCCGGTAGTGAAGGTGGCCCTCTTGCAGGTACACATAATTTGCAGATGCCATTGAATGACCAATTTAAAAGGAAAGAAAGAGCAGATTATTTAAATTTTGAATCTTCTCTCCCTCCCACTAAAAAGAGAGAGACAGAGAGAGAGAGAGAGAGAGAGAGAGAGAGAGAGAGAGAGATCTAAAACATGTTCGCTAGAAAAGTTAATTTTCTCTCCTTTCAAGATGCCTGCTTTGGAAATTTGGGTGGATTTAAGCAAAACTAAAATGTATATTTTTAACTTCTATTTCAGGGAGAAGAATCGCATCAGTCCAGGTGTGTATGTATTTATTTATTTTCTCCCATGCTATGAAAACCTTTTGACTGTTGACTTTGCATCTACTTTTCTGTTCTGACAAAGCAAACCCGCTGGCTTATTAATCAGGACACTTTGTTTTATAGCTCCCATGTCACTCTTCACACTTACACATATAGAATCTTAAATTTAAGAGTCTCGTTTAGAGCCCAGCATTTTACTTGGCTTTGGGGGTAGGGTGCGACAGCCACATGTGGTCATGGTGTTCATTTTGAATTGTCAATGAACTGGCCCTGTGGCTTAATTAGCATTCACTTAATAATAGGTTTTGTCAGGTAGAGAAATGGGAAGGACATGAAACATTCAACTGTTTTTCAAAGAGAAATTCAGAGGACAAACATAAAAGAGCAAGATGTGCTGTTTAAATCTAGGACAGCCTTTAAAATGTCTGTGACAGCTGTGCTTTTATCTAGAACATAGGTGAATTGCATCACCACGGAAACCAGCTCTGACTTCCAGCATGTTCCTTAGGTTGTGGCCGTGGATTTGCCATCCCTTCCAGGCTGCAAGGGAAAGCTCCATGCTTAATGTCATCAACCCAATTTGTGGGATTGGGGGAAAAGCCCTATGTTTCATTTGGAAAGTCATGAAGGAATTTTCAAGGAATTAGCCATTGTATTGTTCCTGGCTCAGGCAAGAGTCTATGTTCAAAATAGGACAGATGAGGTCAATTTCTGCAATCATTGTTGATTTCAATCCCAGATGATATAAATATATGAACACATGTAGGGGATATTTACAAAGCCACAGGAAAATGCCTATAACTGTGTTAGTGTACCAGTTAGCTATTGCTACCTAACAAACCATCCTAAATCTCAGTGGCTTAAAACAACAACCAGTTATTGTTTCTTAGAAATCTATCTGTCTTCTGAGAGTTAATTGATCTAGACCAGTGACTGGCAAACTCATTAGTCAACAGAGCCAAATATCAACAGTACAACAATTGAAATTTCTTTTGAGAGCCGAAAACTGACTTCTGCACATGGGCCTTGAAGTTTCAATCACACTGTACGTGCACGCCCACATATGGTATTTTTTGGAGAGCCACACTCAAGGGACCAAAGAGCCAATGTGGCTCGCGAGCCACAGTTTGCCAACCACTGATCTAGGCCATACTCAGATGGGTAGTTCCCTTCCATATGTCCCTTATCTTTTTCATGGGACCAAAGGTCCATCCCAGGCATGTTTGTTCTTCTTATGGTGAAGGGAGACTTTCAAGAGGACATGCAGAAACGTGCAAGGCCTCTTGGAGCCTGAGCTCTTTATCTTGCCTAATTTTCTGGCCCAAACAAATCCCATGGCTGAGCTCAGGGGAAGGAAATTATGTGTGAGCATCAGTGGGAGAGCATTGAAATGTTACATGGAAAATAGCATGGAAACAAGAGTTGGGGAAGATTAGGACCATTCATGCAAATCTTCCACAGGTGCAAACAAAAATAAAACTCTAAAATGACACCTAATTTAGATGTGTCATAGAAAGAGAAAAAGAGAGTAGTCTGAGAGAAAGATGAAGGTGTTGATCAGAGTTGATTACACAGAGTCTAGTAGAATGTTTAGGGATTTGTTCCTTCCCTAAAGAGCAGTATGAAACCATTGCATGGATTGATGTGATCAGATGGACAGAGAGTAGTCATAAGATTTAGATGAGAGTGGGCTCCAGCAGAACAATTAGAAGGTTTGGGTAGGAGAAGCTGGTAGGTTAGGCTTCAATAAGAGGCAGTGGAGTTAGAAAGAGGTCATGCTGAGCTGTTTAAGAACCGCAATCACCTAAACTTTGTGAATTGTAGACCATGAGGAGTGAGGGGGGAAAAGTTGTGAAGAATGACCTCCAAGCTTCTGGCTTGTACCACTGGGTGGCAAATGGTTCCATTTTACGATCTAAATAACATTGATGGGAGCAAAGGAGGAGGACAAGGGTAGATGGGATGTAGGTCTTGACTACAGGTCTGAACATGTTAAGTTTGAAGACCCAGGAAAGCATCTGAGTGGATATTTTGAATACATGCTTGATTAGAGAAGGTATCATGGATGAAGATATCTATCTGAAGGTGGAGTCTGTATCCAGCTTTGATTATAAGATGGAGTTAACAGACCTAAAGACTAAGTGATAGAACCCATTAAGCCACTTGCAAAAGATTATGTGCAGACTCTATTTATTGACATGCAGAATTTTTGTGAGGCAATAACAGAAACAGTCTTAGTAAATTCAAAGGAACAACTTGGTCAAAGAGCTTGAGGACTTTAAAAGTTCTATGAAGTTCAATACACCACAATCATATGAGATGAAATAGTGGAAATTCACAGAAAATAAAAACAGGAAATTAGAAGGCAGGTAATTTGGACATCTTGGTATCTAGTGATGACCCTGAATTACTAAATATTGTTTCTCTAGGAGTTAATACAATACTTGGCATATAGAAGGCAAGGTTTGTTGAATGAATAAGTAAGAAGCTAAATAACTATAATCTATAAATTAATATGTTAAATATACATATATTAATAAATCAGTAATTTTTTCATTATCCATAGACCACTCAAATATATTTGTAATCAAAAAGTTCACCTTAAGCACAAATCTTTGGTGAAGAGCTGATCATTTATAGCACAAAGATCCCCTGTCAGTCATTTCCTCCCTCCCCCTCTTCTTCGTCACGTCTCTAATCTTTTCCACAGCTGCCATTGGTCATAGGGCTGCTTCCTTCAGATAGCTTCCCAGGCTCAGTCATATTGTCAGGAAAGAGCTCCATGTGAGGTCCCGCTGGCCATCCAGAGCCAGGGGCCTCGCTTCAAAACCCTCATCTAAATTTAGCTAACTTAGGACTTTGATATGCCTATTAAGTAGTATAAACCTAGGACTAGCAAACTGTGGCCTATGGCCCAAATACTGCCCACCACCTGCTTTTACAAATAAAGTTTTAATGGAATACAGCCACACCCATTATTTCAATCCATCTATGGCTATTTTTCTGGCCATATAATGAAACAGACTACATGTCCCCAAAAGACTAAAACATTTACTATCTTGTCCTTTATAAGAAAAGTTTGCTGACTCCTGGTTTATTAAAAAATACTTGCCTCTGTGGCTGTCAATTAATCAAAACAATTATTTTGCCTTGTTGGATTTTAGATATATATATTTTTTTTTACAAAAATAACAGTTATTTATTTATTTATTTATTTATTTGCTATAATGTTTTAACATGTGGCCTGACAATTGGGCAGACTCATGTACATGAGAAGGGCCCAATCTATGCTCAGTTCTGAAATCTGTTCAGTATAATTGTTTTAATTCCAGGCTTTTATTGTGAATTTTGTCCTCACTGTCATCCCCTCTTTTCCTCCATAATATTTCTTTTTTCTTTTTTCTTTTTTTAAAATATATTTTATTGATTTTTTACAGAGAGGAAGGGAGGGAGATAGAGAGCCAGAGACGTTGATGAGAGCAAAACATCGACCAGCCGCCTCCTGCACATCCCCTACCCGGGGATGTGCCCGCAGCCAATGTACATGCCCTTGACCGGAATCGAACCCGGGACCTTTCAGTCCGCAGACTGACGCTCTACCACTGAGCCAAACCGGTTTTGGCGTCCTCCATAATATTTCAATGAACTCATATTTATTGTAAACCTTCTCCTATCACCAAAATATACCTCCTGGAAAATAATATTTATAATTCATCCTTATAAAATGTGAAGAACTTTAAGAAATATTACACTTACCTTTCCAGGTAGAGCATTGTATTTCTTTCTTGGGGTTTCCTTATAAATGCCTCATCATAGTGTCACTGTACTGCATTTCTTTAATATTAATGTGCTTTTAGGATAAAGATCTTCCTGAGAGCAGAGAACACTTATTTATCCTTAAAACTCTAGGACCCAACTAGGATCTATCTCTACAAATATTTATTAAGGGAGGAGACAGATGAAGAAAGGAAGACAGGCCAGCCACAGACTTCTTGGTTTATAGTGTTATTTGTCTCTCCAAAATGTATTTGCATTTTGAGAGCACATGAGTTGACACCCCTTTAAATCTATATTCTCAGAAAGTTGTCTGTCACACCTAATTTTCTGGCCAGCCCTGAAGCTGAGAAAGGAAACCTACGAATTATGTTCATGAGAATAAAGAATAACCTTCCAGTGTTCAAAAGGAAACAAGAAAAAAAATGCTAAATGTATTCAAATTAGCAACTGGGGCAACATTAGCATGCAAACAAAATGACAAGGTATTTGGAAGTCTATCACCAGGAAGAAACCAGACAAAAACATTGAATACAAGTAATGTGTCCCCAAAGCCATTACCCTCAGTGGGCAGAATAACTGGTATTAAGAGCTACTGGAATCAAATTCTGGGTTTGAATCCTGTCCAACTTCTCTCTGGCAATGTGACCTTGGTCAAGTTCTTTAACAACTTGAAATCTCAAATTCTTCATCCATGGAGTGGAGATACAAATAATATCCATCTAATATGGCTTTTGGTATTATTAAATAGCATTATTACATATTAGGTGTTGTTATTTTTTAAAACCATTCATTTATTTATTCATTTATTCATTAAGCACTCCCTCTATAAAGTCATTGATTTATACTTTCTAAAATATGACTACAGATTAATCACAGAAAACTAATTCATTGTGCCTGAATTTTAGTTTCAATACAATACAATATTACCTTCTGCAGACTTCTTTAAAACCTGTTACATGCCCAGCACTGTCTGTAAAATCTGGGAAATATCAGAGAGAAAAGACTCTATTCCAGCTCTCATGTAACCTGTTATAAAGGTGTTGTTAACTAGAGACTAATAGATGGTATACTGTCATTTCATTTATTTAACTTCTGCACTCAGTAAAAGCATACTTTGTTGTATTACCTTCTTCCCTCACACACTTTTATTGAGATATCATTGACATCTAACATTGTAGTTATATATGTTAATATAACATATATAACATATATAACATATA